GCCGAGCTGCACGCTTCCAGCAGAGTATTCTTTAAATATCCCAGCGAGGGGAAGCTGCGGCAGCGAGAGCAGCACGGGCGCTTCCCCAGCGCTGCGCAACTTCAGCTTTCCCAAAGGGAACAAGCTGCTTCTGCCAACACAAAGCACGTCAGGATACAACAGGATGGAGCCCACGGCACCCAGCGACTTCCAACACGGTACCAACACCTGCCAATGCCATATCCACACACATATATAATTATATGTATAGACACACAGAGACAAGGCACGAAGCAGAGCACGGCCCCAGAGGAACTCAGAGCTTCTAAAACTCTTTGGTCTATTCTCCTTGGTCTGCCAGACTCTCCAATGCGATTCCCTTCCTCAGAATGTCTTTTACAAATTAATTTTAATAAAGCTTTCTAACTCCAAGACATACTGCTCACCTGTATACTTAAAGCACAACTGAGCTTAGCTCCAAAGCTTCAAATTAAAAACAAAATGCATGCGCCTTGGCACACACCAATGTTGTCCATCATTCTGACATTCTGCTGTCCATTTCCTGGGTTTGACTGGGTAACATCTTGGTAATAAGAGACTGCAGGTATTTAAAGCAAATCGCCATGACAGCCATCACTATCTCTTCATTAATAGGAATAGGAATGAGATTTCTTTTTGTTGCCAAAAAAAGACACCATGCCAAAATCTTCATACTACTTTTTGGTAATGCAGAGAAATAGCGCAAGTTAAAAGGTAATGGAAATAGTAGACACTCAAAAGCTGAAATGGCTCCAAACATGTAAAGAACAAGTATAAAAGGGTTTTCACCTAAATACTTTGATTTCTGTGGACAGAATACAAGCAGTTCCCAGAACACCCAGGCACATGGGTATCAGAATTAGCCGTGCGTATTTACTGATTTCTTCCTCTGAAGCAATAACTTTAGACTGCACTCAATCTTATTAAAAATAAAATCTTTAAATTGATCTTGCCTCTATGCTGGATTCCTTGTAAATCAAAAGAGCCCCAGTTTTTGCAGATTCCTGTCTTGGCCCTGAGTATAAGTGAAGGTCAGTATCCCACCTAAAATGATGCATTTTGGTAAGAAAACTTTGATGTAGTTGAAGAGTAATTTCAGAGATAAATTAAAATATATATATATATATTTATTTGTATTTGAAAGTTTAGATTCATAGCAAGAGGCTGCTAGAAGCCAAAGCTAGCTTTCCATGACATCTCTGCAGAACAGCCAAGAGTTTGTAATTTTGAACTCTTTGGGGCAGGGAATATATTTGGGCATGCTGCACAGAGCACTTGCTTGCACACTTTACAGCAATAAACTTCAAAATCTTTAAATTAACACTGAAAATTAAAGCCATAAATTGTGCATATGTATTGTTTATTGCTGTGCATGCAGTGAGCATAGAGAAAGGTAGCTACCATTTTTTTTTCATATCATTTATGTAAGATGTATGAAACTGTGTACCTGAAAAAACAGAGTTGTTTTTAAGGCTTGTTACGTTATATCACATTCGAATTATCATTATAAACCATACCCACTCTTACCATATTGTGTGGAGAAACTCAGATAAAGATTTCCTATCGAAAACTATGAAATCCTACAAGCCGAGCTGTATTTTATCTGATAATATAGTGACAGCCTGATCTGAGAAGCAGAAAATTGAACATGTTTAAAATATAAAAAGGTACTCCAGCAGTGTCGAAGATAGGAAGTCAAAATTAACCATTATTACAAGAGCATGAATTAAATGAAAGTAAAAGGAACACAAATGACTTTTTAAATAAGATAATTTAAAAGGGAAACACAGGTTAAGCTAAAACAGCCTCCAGAAATCCCACTTGACACTGATTGTACACGCAAATTTATATGCTATATTTTGATACAGTAACTTTTATAAGAATGCACAGAAAAGGTAACTAATTCAAATGCCAAAATCCAACTATTTTATTGAATATGCACGCCTTGCCATAGATTTGAGTCAGCACCAGCGACAGCTCTGCAGTCCTCCGATGTAGTGCAGATCAGGTGGTTGCAGAGCCCCAGCTAGCAGCAATACGATGCAGCTGAGGAGGCGAGCACAATCCACAGACAGCAACTGTAGCTACTCTCTAGAACAAGACGACCTCTAAGCTCAAATCTTGCACAGAAACGATGTACTGACATTACAGAAGAGACTACGGTAAGTTTATGTTTCTGCTTTTAATCACCAAAACCTACTACAAAACCAGAGACAGGAATAAGATCAAAATTATTAGTTGATGACAGATGCTTGCATCAGAAATTTGCTGCAGTGTCAGAAATTTCTTACTAACATTAATTCAGCTTTCAAGCATGTTATCAGCTTTGAGAATGTAATTAACACTACAGTAAAACAAGAAAATAATGTGTATGTTAGCATGAAAATGGAATTTGAGTTTCAAAATTCGTAACGGTTTAAGATGTATTTTAACCAATTCTATTTAAGCAAATAGCATGCATGTACGGGGGGGACTGCTACGTTACTGCAGAGATTTGTAAAGCAGATCCAGTTGACAGCCATTTTTTCATCCGGTATAAAAGAACACATTATTCCAAATATAATATAGGCTTGAAATCACTAAAAACAAGAAGCAGACATTGTATAACATTTGGAAGAGACTTGCATTTTCGGAAGAAAGCCCTCATTTGAGCTTGAGGGGGAAAGGGAGATGAAAAAACAAGTCTCATTCTGCCAGACAACATGACAGTCTATGAAGGGATGCTTTGTAAAGTCTCTCTTGAACAATTATAAAAAGGACTATGCCACAAAGGGCTTTATTGATATTTTAACTTAATTTCTCCTGCAAGTAGTCAGTGCAGAGATAACCCTTAAAAATAAATAAAATATATTCTATGGATTTCAAGGGGGTCATTTTGGTGTATTTGCTTTCAGGCAGCAATGGAACACCAGACACTGAAAACATCTACCTGCCTGCTGGCCCTCCTGTTTGTCATCCCCACTGTGCTGGGTGTTTGTCCTTCCAACTGCACATGCTCAGGAAACGACAGGAACGTGGACTGTTCTGGCAGAAACTTAACTGTGTTGCCACATGGACTTCAAGACAACATTACATATTTAAATCTGTCCTTTAACCAGTTTACAGACCTTGATCATCAGCTGACCAGATTTACCAATTTGAGGACCCTCGATATTTCAAACAATTGGCTCAAGAACATTCCTGCCCATCTGCCCAAGTCGTTATGGGAATTATATGCCATAAATAACAATATCAGAGTTCTCCAGAAACTGGACACAGCTTACCAGTGGAATCTGAAAGTGCTCGACGTTTCCAGGAACATGGTGGAAAGGGCTGTTCTGATCAACAACACACTGAGCAGCCTCAAGTTTCTCAACCTCAGTAGCAACAAACTCTGGACGGTTCCCACCAACATGCCCTACAACATCGAGACGGTGGATCTGTCCAACAACTTCCTGTCGCAGATCCTGCCGGGGACGCTCGTGAGACTACGCCGCCTCAGCAGCCTCTACCTGCACAACAACAAGTTCACGTACATTCCCGACAAAGCTTTTGACCAACTCTTCCAGCTCCAGGCAGTCACGCTGTACAACAACCCGTGGTCCTGCAGCGACAGGCAGAACATCCTCTATTTGCTCCAGTGGGTGCAGGGGACGGGCGCCAGCGTCCTCGGGGCGCCCTGCGCCAACGACACGGGGCTCTGGGCGCCCACCACGCCACTGGCGGCCACTGCCACCGCCACAGAGCCAAACCTCCTCATTCAAGGAATGAAGGCAGCAGACAAAGTTACCCTGATGGCAACCGAACCAAGCAAAATGACCAAAATGCACAAACAATTCAAAGTTAAGGAAGTTGCTTTAGCTGCTACCTTAGGCCAAACCGTACTGTTCACAAGCACAGACCGACCGCTCCTGCTCTACCCAGAAGACGTGACCACGGGCAAAGCGAGCTCGCATGAAGCGGCCACCACGCGCACAATCTACATGAGGGATCCGACCGAGGGGAACTCGAGCGCGGCCCGCGCCACAGCTCCCCCCAGCACTCCCTTGACGCTGGGCATCACCAGCGGCCTGCCCACAAACCGCTCCAGGACGCCTCAGAGCACAACCGCTGCCTTAAGGAAAGAGGAATCCACCACAAATATTTTGAATACCCACGTGCCCTCCAAAGCAAGTACCCAGGAGGTGTGTTTGTTCTGTGTTATAATGCTTAGTGCAGTGGCAATGTTTATTGGTAAGGGCCTGTAAGTCTTGTGACGTCTCTTCCTGTGCTATGGAGCTGGAGTGAAAATGTCCAGGTCCAATAATGAATCAAAACAAAAGAAATTCAAAGTTCTGACTCTGATCTAAAGAGAGTAACAATTCTTAAAGAAGTGCACACTAATGTCTTGATACTAAGCTGCTACTTATTTTAATGTCTTAAGTCAAACTAACCTATGATTTTGTTTTTAAAATGTGCTTATTTTGTATTTAAATTTTTGATTTTACTTGCACAGAATAAAACATCAGAATTTTAAGTACTGACTTTATGTATGGTTTTGTCATTAAACATCTGGGGAAAAAAAAAAAAAAAAAAAAAAAAAAAAACAAAAAACAGAAGGCCTGTATCATATCTGCATTGTTTTGCTTGACTTGCTAACCAGCAATTCTTGTAATATAGCAGTACAGATCCTTTGTAAGTTATGACGACATGCAAAAGGAAGGGCAAGAAATAAAAAAAAGCTGAACCTGTTTCACTAACCAGAAGTTACTCCTGGGAAAATGGCTAGCATGTATATCTATGTTTGCTTCATATGTATTAGGTATTTTAAATATGAAGAACAAAAGTTTTGGATTTAAAACTTAAATATGACAATGCCATGGTGTCTACGGGGAGGGGATAAATAGAGAAGACAACATGGCCTAACTTTGGCATGGGGAAAGCAATAGGGGCTGATTTCTCTTTTTGCTCTGTCTTGACTTGGAGGCTGCAGGCAAGTTATTTCTCGCTCTCCATACTTCAAAGAGATAAAAGATAAAAATAGAGGAAAAATACAAGATGTTCAATGCCATGACACTCTTGGACAACACTGAGCTTATCTACATAAATTAATGGAGTGAAACGCCTTAAATTTACTAAAATAATTGAAAATAATTGAAAATGAGGTAATTGTTATTTCAATATGCTTAAAAGAATATCACAACTTGGCCAGAATGTATCAAACTATCACTTTTTCAAAACTGAAATGAAAGATCAACCAATTTGTAATACAAATTATGTAACATAAGTCAATTATATAATCAGTTGACAAGCTGTCATTTACACAGTCCTTGAACTGGTCTTATGACTTCAAAAATTAACTCCATCCATGGCATTGAACATGCCCAAATCACTGTCTTATAAGGATGAGCATGAATGCTATTTTCCTTAATATCTGCACCACCAATGAGTAGAAATAGTTGCACGCATGGTTCTGTCAACTCTGGCACAATAATCTAAATTATGTGGCAAAGATACTTGATATACTACAGGTAAAGTTTTGCAAACAGCATGAAATGAAAACTGAAGAACAAGTAAATCGAAAAAAAAATATTCACTTAATATTACAGACCTTTATTAAACGTTTTCCACTCATTTCAGGCCATTTAATTTCCAGTCATTGTAGCATGAAGGTGCTACAAAACCCAAGAAACCTCACTGCTGAGACTGCAGTCCTCTGCCTGTTTCTCCTAGGTCTCAGTGAGGGCTGTTGACCATATACAACTGGTACCAGAGAAATCACAACTTTCCAATTGTGAACAATATTTCTATAACTGGAAATGTATTTTAATTTCTAACAGAAACTTAAATGATACACAGTGAATTTGTACAGTTATTTCATGGGCATTTAAGTAAAAATAAAGTTAAGTTTGTATTGAACTGAAGTAGTGAGAGTGCTTTTTTTCAAATATGTCTAGTTATCATATATCCTGGGGGAGAGGTAACATCACTGAACACTGTTTTAGTATACAAATCTATCTTAAACAATTCTTTGGCTAATCTTCATATTTTATAGGAAAAAAATGCATTAAAAATTATATTACTTTGACATTCACATTTTCTCTAATATTGTTTATTAATAAACTAATGAGATCATGGTTAGATAGAATCTACCCTTCCTACCTACAGGACTTGCAAGCACCTAAAGCATATACCTACCCTCTACAGAAAAGGTATATATGGTACCTTCGCTGGCTTATGGAAGTGCCTCGTTAGAGAAAGGGGCTATCTGCTCTCTGAGATGATGTCCACCTGCACAGCTTCCATCTACTTTCTCAGGTTAAATTTGACACAAGCAGGTAAATTCCACCAACTAGGATCAGTGATAGAAAAAAATGCCAGCGCCTGCTTGGGTCTCTTTGGACAGGCAATGTGTTTGCTAAGCTTTAGGTCATCACAAAACAGCAGCAATCTACTCTCTATTTTCAGAATTGGTTATTTCCTAGCACTGACTCAGTCATATGATTTTATCCTACACAGTTTAAAGCATCTTAGTTGCAAGGTAAGACAGATCAGTAAACAAGGAGCAGGGGCTAAAGCACCTTGAGTGAACTACACTCTCCTGAGGGAGGTGTATGAAATACTACATGTAGCTTTGCCGAACAATTCAGGACACGACGCCAAGTCCTACTGGATGCATTCACGGAACCACCTCCACACGCTTTGAGCATGTTTCCCTTCTAAAGAGACTGAACAAGCACAGGATGCTGGCTACCAAAAACCTGTTTTTCAGAAGTTGTGCGGGAGCAGCACAGGGTGGGCGGCGGAGGCCGCAGGATGCCCACGCTCCCTCGCATTCCTCGCATCCCGCAGACCTCGTCGCTGCGCCGGGAGCAGGAGGAAAGGCAGGAGTCCTGCACTGGAGTTGCTTGGCAACAGCGCAGCCAAACTGAGCTGAAACTGATGGGCATGGGCGTGAACACTCCAGAATTGGTTCAAAATAAACATGCTGCTAAAAAGATTTATCCTCAGAGAAATTCTTTTCTCCAAAACACCCCAGCAACATTTCAGAACAATCCTTTCTTTTTTTTCTTTTTTTTTTTGTGCTCAGTTGCATATATTAAATACTTACCAAAAGGCATTGCATACCTTATAATAGAAATATGTTTCTTTTGAAAGGATACAATTGCCGCAGGGGTAGCTGTGGGCTGAAGCAATAAGTCAGAGGTTTGAATTCCCATGTTTCCTATTAATTTGTTTGGGATATTAGCTTTAAAACTTAATGGCAGTATGTCAAGGTCAGTATTTATTGACTTATTGACCATCTTCATAACAGAGCAAGGATTAAGGAAGAAAACTGGCTTTTAAAAGTCAGGTTGTTGCCCAGGAAACAAAAAGCAGAGAGAAATGACAGAGGAGATTAAATTTCACAACACAAGGAGGATACAAACTGAACCAGATACATCAGTAAAATGACTCAGTGATGCCCTAGCAACTAGATCTCAAACTGGAGGAAAAAGAATAAAAAAAAAAAAGGAAAAAGCAAGCAGCCTGCTGCAAGGCCTGAAACACGCTGGGAGCTCCAATCGCAACACTCTTCACAATTCACAGCCTAAAAAAGCCTATCTGGCTCTGAATCACAAGATAGATACCCCAAATAAGCATGCCAAAGCAGTGCCTCTTTCAGTAGAAAAGATGTCGGAATGACATTCCAGAAAACAGGTCAACCCACTAGGTTCCAAAAAACTAAAAACAAGAAAGCAAAACCAAAACCCTACATATTATGTCAAATCTTCCCAGATACATAAGGACACCCTGGATCAGGGCCAGAGAGCACTAACTCTGCAAGGCTATCGCAGTCCTTGGCATTTGCACGCTCCATTTCCTGCCTGAAGAGGACAAGATAATAAGATAGCATTTTATGTTATTTGGCACGAAGTAAGACATTGTCTGATGAAAAAACAAATGACAAAGAAAGTAAAGAGCAAATTTGTCTTCTTTTTTGGGGTGGGGCCGGGAGGAGAAGGGGAAGGTTACCCTTCTAAAATATTAAGACAACTTCTCTAAATTTGAGTATGGAGCAAACATAAACTGAAGGGGCCCGTTCCCCAGAGGGAAAGGAACAGCACAGAAAAAGCCCTCCTTTGCTGTGAGCGCCTTCCCGTGGGCCCCGTCGTCCCCACGCGGGCTCCCCCGAGCGCTCGCTCGGCCGCGGGGCCCCTGCTCTGCGCGATGCCGTTCGCCTGCAGCACGCGGGCCAGGTCTGCACTGACACCTTATGTAATCCTCTCCGTCAGGCTTCCCAACGCCGTTGTATAACCGGGTTTCAAGGAACAACAATCCAGGCCAGAGGAAAAAGCACCAGTTCACCTCTGAAGACAAGCGACTTGTGCTGCACGAGTCGGCACGGCTTTTTGCATTCACCTCCAACAAAGCCCTTCCACGGGGCACATCAAAGCGGCCACACTCACCCGAGCAGGCACTCAAACACCACACTCCACTCCCAGGTAAGCTCTCCAGCATGCAGAGCTCCCTTCAGTCTCCACTCGAGTGCACTGGGCCTCTCTCCAGAGGAAAGGGAGAAGAAACTGCATTTAAACAGGCTCTCTTGCAGTAAAGGTACCATGCAGGGCCCAACAGCAGTCTTAAATACACTTCTATAGAAAGTACATTTAGTTATTAGTTTATTTAGTAAGAAACTAGATATGAAACTCGAAACTGGAAGAGCTGTGTTGCACCTTCAACACCACCTTCTCTTAGAAGATAGGGAGGGCCTCCCTTCCCACCGCACACTTAGCCTAGGAAAGGTCAGGTTTCTTCCAAACCTCAAGTGTTCCTGATAACTTGTTTTCTACTTTTTTAATTAAAACAAAACAAAACTGACAACAAACAAACACACACAAACCACCCACACACGCATCTTGTGATGTATACCTGCACTGTCTCACAGAAGCAGCTTCTGGAACACATTGCTATAGCTTGAACACACTTCAGGGCAGGAGTGGGAACACAGGCGGGATCCAGCCCTCCTTCCTCTTTGGGACAGGAGTCTGACAACTCTTCCAGTGTATTTCATTACAATAGGGAACACACAACAACTGGGAGAAAACTTGAGTGTCCAAACATCCATTTTTATTCCTAAATTTTAATAAATATTATTTTCTACTGACAAAGGTACAACTAGTTTAGAAGGGGCCAAATATAATACATTGTGTATATATATATATTTAATTTCTGACATTTAACTTCATAAAATCATGTCACCTAAAACAGTCAGCATGCTTTTTAAAAAACATTTATTTAAACTGATACATGCTGTCCATGACACACATCTTTTGGCTATATCTTATTCACCCTCCAAGGATATGTAAATGAAAGTGTTCATACACTTAGTTACTCACCTACATAACACAACATTCAAAAACACGTCTTTAGTTAAACTTTTGTAACTCTGTGTGTGAATTTAGTTTCAGGAACAAAACGAAATTAAAAACAAATGGAGCGCTTTAAGACAAACTCATTTTAGTATCAGCACTCCATACACTCAGTGTCAACTGCTCTATCCCAGTCGGTGTCAGCCAATTAGCCAGTGTAAATACAGTGTTCAGCAAGGCTGTTCCTAATACAGGATTACACGGAACATTCATACCTGCCAGTCAAGTCATTCCTCAAGCCACACGCTGTTCAGCAGCTCAGCAGAAATCATGTTAGATATGCAGTTATGCTTCTCTGATCCAAAACAGAAAGAAGTTTGCGTTCAATAACTCACCACTGATGCACCAAAGGAAAAATTCCATTAATTGACCCTCTTTTTAATCATTTTGTTGCAAAATGTGAAAAACGCACAAGATAATCTAATTTAATACAAAACAATTACTGTTAGAAACTCACAGGGTCACTTCATACAAGTTTCATTTAAGGTTTTGTGATGCCCCGTATTGGCCAGCGCAATAGGCTCAAAGGCGACTCCAAGGACTTAAAGAGGGTCCAAAATGACAGTGCTGCTTCTGAAGACACAGAACCAGTACACAGCTGCTCTACTCGTCCGGTTTCCTTGCACTCCACTCAAGGAGTCAAGAGTGCTGAAAGTGCAGAGGAGGAGCCAAGCCAAACGAAGGCAGTTTCTCCCCCCTGCCCATTTTTTCCCCCCTCCAAATAAGAGGAAGAGGATACTAAAGGTTCATTTGTACAAGTGTTTTCTCATATAATTTCTATTTCAGAGCTATACACCGTTGGGAAAAAAAAAAAAGAGAGAGTTGTGCAAGATAGGCAAGAACACAAAATTTGTGTAAAGAAAGTTCCTTCATGCTGCCCAGTGACTGTTCCTTCGACTGGCACAGACTCATGCCTTCTGTAAGCGCAGAAGAGACAAAAGCACAGACCTTATTTCCAAACGGTAACAGCTGTATTATACTTTGATTTTTCTTCCATCTTTGAATTTCAGTATGCCTGAACCCCCCCTAAAAGTGACAGAGTTTGAGAATAGCTGCAAATTTAACGGAATGGAGGTATTTATTCCCTGCCTTGCCTGCCTGTCGCGAGCGGGTTCGCCTGTTTCTCCCCACACTCCTCCCACGGCCAGGACACACTCCCAGCTCCCAGCAGTGCTTGGATGGGAAGAGGCAGC